GTGAGAACTGACTCCACAAAGTTGTCCTCTGACCTACACATCATGCCCCCCCCCCCAATGAAACTATTTTAAAGATCTAAAAAACAGTCATCTCCATGAGCTTCAGCCATGCTGTTGTATACTAGGCACTTCATTCACTGTGTGTGGAGTGGGAGCAGTGAGAACAGAGAATAGATGAGTTACAGGTGAAGGGAGATATAGGAGTCAGCTAGAAGAGGAGGCCTGTGAAAACTAAACGAAACCAAGTGGAGAGAGCTTAGAGGAAAAGAGAGACAAGGGGATGGGGAGGGATGTTCAGGCCACACTCCCCTCCCTGCTGACAGCCAGGGAGCAGATGTGAGTAATACACGTGGGCTCAGGAGTGAGATCAGAAGATAGAAAGGTTTGTGCTTCACCAACAGTTAGCCAGAGAATGAGTGAGGTCTTTGTTAGGACGGAAGGAAGGAGGAAGACTTGATGAGTCTGTCCCCATGGCCACAGGCCATCGGCCTGGGGGAGAGGCAGGCCGCAAATGAGTCAAGCTGAACTCATTCATTTTTATGGCTGAGTAATATTCCATCATGTGAATAAGCCCAAATGAATTAGCCATTTATCAGCTTGTGGACATTTTCAATCATTCCTAGTTTTGGACCCTGATGAATAAAGCTGTTATAAACAGTCATGTGCGCGCCACCGCTGTCCGGCTCAGTCAGTCTTTTAAAAAATGTTGCTGGGCAGCCATGGCACACACCTTTAATCCCAGCACTTGGGAGGCAGAGCCAGGTGGATCTCCGTGAGTTCAAGGCCTGGACTACCGAGCAAGTTCCAGAACAGCCAAGGCTGTTACACAGAGAAACCCTGTCTCGAAAAACCAAAAATAAAATAAAGTAAAAACAAATAAAATAAAATAAAAATGTCTTTATTGAGGCTGAACAGATAGCTCCACAGCTGAGTTTACTGCTGTGTCAGAGGGCAGGGCATGACATGTATGTGTGCAGGTGTGCAGTCAGAGGGCAGGGCATGACATGTATGTGTGCAGGTGTGCAGTCAGAGGGCAGGGCATGACATGTATGTGTGCAGGTGTGCAGTCAGAGGGCAGGGCATGACATGTATGTGTGCAGGTGTGCAGTCAGAGGGCAGGGCATGACATGTATGTGTGCAGGTGTGCAGTCAGAGGGCATGACATGTATGTGTGCAGGTGTGCAGTCAGAGGGCATGACATGTATGTGTGCAGGTGTGCAGTCAGAGGGCATGACATGTATGTGTGCAGGTGTGCAGTCAGAGGGCAGGGCATAACATGTATGTGTGCAGGTGTGCAGTCAGAAGACATGTCAGAGGATGACTTTATGAAGTAGATGCTCCTTCTACCTTTACATGGTTTCTGGGGACTGAACTTAGGTAGCCATGCTTGGCAGCAGGGTCTTTTCTCTGAGCCATCTCAGCAGTCCTAAAATACTTTTGATACCTTTAAAAATATTTGCCTGCCCCAAAAGAACAAATATCTTCTCCTGTCTTCTTCTAGATACTTTATTGTTTGGGCATTCACATTTAGATCTAATGTTAATTTCAAGCTTTCATTTCTCTTTTTGTTTGTTTGTTTTGTTTTGTTTTTCTGAGACAGGGTTTCTCTGTGTAGTTTTGTGCCTGTCCTGGAACTCGCTCTGTAGTCCAGGCTGACCTCGAACTCACAGAGATCCACCTGCCTCTGCCTCCCGAGTGCTGGAATTAAAGGCATGCGCCACCGCTGCCCGGCTTCTTAACAACTTTTGGTTTTCTAGCTTTACTCTTCATCTGTGTACATGTGCATGTGTATGTGGCATGCGTATACACGTGTTTACATACATGTGGAAGCAGGACAACCTCAGGTGTCACTCCTTGGGAGTCATTCATCTTGTTTTTTGAGACAAGGTCTCCTGCTGTCCCCATATCCCAGATCTGGATTACAAGAACGTGGCTCTGCATGGGTCCCAGCGCTGCAGCTGAGGCCGGCCTGCTTACAGAGCAAACACTACTGATTGGCCTAGGTCCCCAGCAGCTCGTCTTCGTGTAGTTTAAAAAAAAAAAAATCCCATTAGCAGAAGTAGAGTTCAAGGTTCAGAGATTTTTTTTTTTTAAATGTGTGTGGCAGGGGTATTGTATGTGCGTGTGAGTGCAGGTGTCTGCAGAGGCTGGATCCTGCTAGTGCTGGAGTTACAGGTGGCTGTGAGCCATCTGACAGGAGTGTTGGGAACTGAACTCGGGTCCTATGGAAGAACAGTATATGCTCTTAACCAGGGGGCCATATTTTTAACATGATTACTTCATTCAGCAGCATTCCATTCACTCCACAGAGAAAGTCTGCAACTCCTGGCAGGCAGTTCCAAGTCCCCTTGGCAACAGCCAACATATTTTCAATCTCTATGGATCTGCCTGTTCTGAACATTGCACACAGAAAGAATCACACAGGGCGGAGAGATGGCTCATCAGTTTAGAACACTTGCTGCTCTGGCAGAGGGCCTGGATTCAATTCCCGGCACCCACATGGCAGCTCATAACCACCTGTATCCCCAGTTCTAGGGGATCTGATGCCCTCTTCTGACCTCCAGGGCACCAGGCACACATGTACTTCACACACATGCATGCAGGCAAAACACTCATACACATAAAAGAAGAACAAATAAATCTTAAAATAAAAGAAGAAAAAATAAAAATCAGGTACCTGATGCCTCTTCTGGCCTTCGTGGGCATTGCATGTATGCACATACAGGCAAAACACCCATAGACATAAACGATTGTAATGAAGATAAAGAAACAGAACCATGCAGTGTGTGGGTTTTTTATGTCTGGTTTCTTTGATTTAATACAAGGATTTCAAGACTCATTTTATTTTATTTTTTTATTTTATTTATTTATTTATTTATTTATTTTTTTGGTTTTCCGAGACAGGGTTTCTCTGTGTAGCTTTGTGCCTTTCCTGGATCTCACTTGGTAGCCCAGGCTGGCCTCGAACTCACAGAAATCTGCCTGCCTCTGCCTCCCAAGTGCTGGGATTAAAGGCGTGCACCACCACCGCCTGGCTCAAGACTCACTTATTAAAAAAAAAAAAAAAAAAAAAGATTCACTCATGGCGTAACCCACAAGCGCTTAATTTATTTTGATGGTTGAATAATAATTCACTTTTAGAAACTTAATTATTGAAGCCAGGTGTGGTGGCATATACCTTTAATCCCAGCACTCAGGAGGCAGAGACAGGAGGATCTCTGTGAGTTCGAGGCCAGCCTGGGCTACAGAGCTAGTTCTAGGATAGGCTCCAAAGCTACACAGAGAAAACCTGTCTTGAAAAACCAAAAACAACAACAACAAATTAATTATTTATTGGGTGCTGAGTAGGTGGCTCAGTGGTTGGGAGCATTGGCTGCTCTTCCAGAGGAACAGGGTTCAAATCCCAGCTCCCACATGGTGACTCCCAACTTTCTGTAACTCCAGTCCCAAGGGATGAGACATACTCTTCTGGCCTCTGAGGACACTGCACACATGTGGTTCACTAATATACACGCAGGCAAAATGCCCACACACATAAAAATTAAAAAAAAATTAATGTATTTCTTTTCTGTGTATGAGTGTTTGGACTGCATTTCTGTATGTACGCTGTACATGCCTGGTGCCTGAGAATGTAAGAGAATAAAATTAATTATTATTTGTAGATTACTTAGTCAGAGATGCTCTATTCCAACAGCAAAAAAGAACGAAAACAGGCTTCTGTAACAAAGAACCACAGAGTATCTTTTTTTTTCCCTCAAGGCAAGGTCTCTCTATGAAGTCTTGGATGACCTGGAATTCAATATGTAGACCAGGCTGGCCTTGAACTCACAGAGATCTGCCTGCCTCTGCCTCCCAAGTGCTGGGATTAAAGGTGTGCACCACCATGGCCCAGCAAGTTTTAAAAATTAAAAGAAACACTTTATTTTATTTAATTTTTATTTTTTGCTTTCTTTTCAAGACAGAATTTCTCCATGTAGCTCTGGCTGTCCTGGAATTCACTCTGTAGACCAGGTTGGCCTTGAACTCACAGAGATCTGCCTGCCTCTGCCTCCCAAGTGCTGGGATTAAAAGCACGTGCTACCGTGCCTGGCCTGGCTGAAACACTTTATTTTTATTTTATGGGCATGAGTGTTTTGCCTGCATGTGTGTGTGTGTGTGTGTGTGTGTGTGTGTGTGTGTGTGTGTGTACATGTGTGCACGAGGGCCTGTGTATCTGTGTATCTGTGCACCTGTGTGGGATGCCCACAGAGCCAACAGAGGGTGCTGTATCCCCTGGAGCTGGTTGTGAGCCACCCTACATGAGTACTTATCCAAATTCTGGTCCTCTGAAAGAGCAATAAGTGCTCTTAAACGGCAAAGCCATCTCTCCAGCTCCCTGTCCTCGAACTTCTTTTTTGTTGTTGTTATTTCAAGACAGGGTTTCTCCATGTAGTTTTGGTGCCTGTCCTGGATCTCGCTCTATAGACCAGGCTGGCCTCGAATTCACAGAGATCCGCCTGGCTCGGCCTCCCCAGTGCTGGGACTAAAGGCGTGCGTCATCGCCGCCCGGCTGTCCTTGAACTTTTTAAGTCTCCCTTTCAGGTTGTATTAGGCAGGTTTGGCATAGCTTTGTTGTACAGAAGGGCTTAGAAAAGAGCTGTCCTCTGTAAGAGCAAGACAGTATTGTCAGCTATTTCAGTCCATATGGTCTCTGCCACTGTAGTAGAAATCAGCCAGGAGAGGACGTAAACAAATAGGCAGGTTGTAGCGGGCCCTGTGGTGGGCCAGACTGGACAGGCTGTAGGTTATCTTCCCAGCTTCTAGGTCACGGTCCCTACGACTACAGCAGGACTTCACCGAGGTCTCCTGTCAGCGAGAATATTACTGAAGTATTTCCATTCTGATGAACCCACAATCCAAATTCTCATGGGGCTGTGGGATCTTTAGATCTCCACTTCACTCCCACGCACAGCAACAGTAAATCTGTCGGCTTCACACAGTCGCCCTGCACACTAGCTAGG